GGGCTCTGTCCAGGGGGGTTCCTGACCCCTGCCAGGGTCCCAGACCTGCCAGGGCAGCCAGAGGGAAGGCCGGGATTCCCACAACCAAACATTCCTGCTGGAGGATTCCCCAGGGGCTGGGCACGGCAGCCTTGTGCCCAGAGCCAGCAGGATGGGGCAGAGGGTGAAAGCAGAGGCCCTGGTGCTCAGCACGGAGAGGAACAAGCGGCACAGCTCGTCCTGCCCAGCGCCTCTCACCAGGCAGTGCCCTGGCACCCCAGAGCAGCTCCATGAGGGACTGGCTGGCACAACACAGCTGCTCATGACAGCCCTCCCAGACTCATCTGACACAGAAATTAAAACAGTGCAGTGCAGAATAATGCAGAAAGCCATATGCCTCTTTCTATCCCCAAACAAAGGATGTGATCATTTTGAAAAAGCCCTTTTCCAAATCTGCCTGGCTGCTGGATGAACAATCATTCATGAGTAATTTCTGGATGCTCACAGGTGGTGCAAAAGCATTAGAGAGAGCTGCAGAGTTCTGCATAAAACCCATAATTAAGCAAGCTAATGACCTGAGATGATGATCCATGGCAGAACTGGTTTGAGTTTATTTTGAACTGGCTTTAGAATTCTCAAAGAAATGTTTTGCATTAGTGGATAAAAGGCCCTGGTAAGTCATTTGTGCTTGCTGATAGATGTTAAATGCCTCTCAGAAAGCATATAAGAAGTCCCTGAAATGCTACAGATTATTGCAGCCAGCATTTCCTCCAGTTAGCATATCCAACCAACAGCAAATATCAGAGAATAATTTCAAGGTTGAAAGGGACCATTTGGGCTTTATCTGATCAAATCCCTTACCTTCAAGCAAACAAATGTTTGTAAATCAGGACCCTAGGGCAGTATTTTCAGTGCACCCATATCTCTTGTAGGACTGGAAACAATTATGTGCAGGACTGGAAGCAATGATGTGCACAAGTCTCAAACATGGGTCTAAAGGCATAAAGATTTTCAAACCCCAAACCGGGTTCATTTTGTGTGGCATTAGTCACAGCAGCTCTGGCCCTTAGGAAAACAGGATATGGAGAACAACTGACATTTTGCTCACACAGACTGCATCACTCAGCACTTCTAAAAGTCTTGAATGCCTTGATTAGAAATGCCCCAGCTGTACCTCAGGGCAGCAAGGGCTCAGCTTTCCCCTGAGCTTGCCTTTGGCTCGGCCACCCCAGGGTGGCATTTCCAGCAGCTCATCCTCCCCGGATGAGCGAGCGCCGCGCGCCACGGGCGCCGCATCGGTGCACGGGCTCTGACCCAGAAACTGAGAGATGAGAAGGGGCTGATGAGATAAACTGTGCCTGTCCCAAGCTAAACACCAGCACAGCCACACTACACTCGCAGCACACCCAGAAAAAATATCTGCTCTTCCCGAGGATTTATTTTTGTACAGCATCTCCGCAGCAAACAAACGCTCCTGATGGAAACTGTGTCAACGGTGCTGTTGGAAAATGTTAGACCAGACACCCTGATCACATTTTCAAACTCCTTTATCTTCTTTTTTTACAACAAAAAGAAACTGTCAGGATTTATTTGCCATCTGATTATTACCTCTGTGTTAATTTTTACTTATTATTTGGCCTAGTTTTAAATTTTTATTGAAATCTATTCTAGGTGGAAACATTGTCCTTTGAATAGTTACAATCATGAGACAGAGTATAAAATAATGTTTTCTCTAATATCTCCCTTTCCCACCCAGATGCTCATAAGCAGGTTTTACTTCCATTAGAATATTCATGGGGTATAAATAATAAAAAAAAGCATGAAAGCTGCTGGAGTATAGGTAGAAAATTTACTCTCCTTGCTAGTTCTTCACTTTCACCAAACTTCCTTACAACTGGTACAATAACTGGAAGCAAAATCTGTCCTTTGAGAGAAACTTCTAAGGAGTTAACAATGTACTCCATCTTCTGAATCCACACACTGCCACAGGATATTAATGTAACATCCTCACCTCTGATAATCTACACTGCTGCCTATTAAGAGCAGGAGCTGGGGAAGCTAAAGAAATGTTATTCAAAATTAAGCAAAGGAAATTTTTTTTGTGCTGAAGTGGATGGTATGCACAGCAAATTTTAAAACAATCTTATTTCCAGTCTCTCTCAGGACAGGTTTCACTCCACCAAACATATCTTCTTTTACAAAACATTGTTCTAATTTGACTTTCATTAATTGAGTAATTTTCTACAGGCTCTTGAATTTCCTTTGTGCCTCTACATATATCATGCATGTAGTAGACAAAGTCTTAAGTTAAAAAAAAAACAAAAACGTATTGGTTTTTTATATTTATGTTCTAAAAGTTATGGCTCATTATTAGATAGTATTTCCCCCCAAACTGTTGAGGTTTATTTTAGTAACTAATCAGTAGACATATATTGCTTATAAAGCATTTCTATTCCATCTGCATAATTAGTGGTATATAAAGCATTCTTGAAAAAGTACAACTCAAGGTGCATTTACTAATGTTTTGTAAATCATTTAAGTATGAATTATTTCAGTTGCACTGTAGGTTTGCTATTAATAGAAGCAGGAATTTTAATAACACAGTTTTGTTTGGAGTTTAATGGCTACGTCTACTTTACTAGCTACAGAATTTTCAAAGCAGTTACCAAACACATGAAGGAATATTTGAAAGAATTGGAATATTTCAAAGTTCCTCTTTTTAAACTTATTTTGCTTGATGAAACTTTGATTTATGTACCCTCTTCAAAGTGCCAAATTGCTAACAGCTACATCTTTCAGAAGTAGCTGTTAGCAATTTAGTGAGGTTGTTTATGTTGTGGATACTCTTTCTGGGAGATTTCAGAAGTTGCCTGTGCATCTAATTCACTAAACTTCTTTTGCAAGACTGCTGGTGAATGTTTTTGCCATGTTTGACTCTTTCCTGGCAGATCCAGCAACCCAGGATGTGCTATTTAGTAAGTTAGTAATCTTGAACATCTTTGCCTTTCAGAGCACAGAACATTAAGCTAAACTAAGCTTGCACCAAAAAAGATGCCAGGGTTTCACCAAAAGAGTTTTACAAGATGCAGTCAACACTTTACATTATTTGCGCTTTCTTCAACTCATGTTTTGACATAATATTGCTACAAGAGAATCAGTCACCCACACCAATTTTTAAGCTATCCAGGTTTAGAACCAAATGATTCTTCCATTTCTATAAATCAGACTCTTTAAAACATAGCAACAAGGAAGTGTATTATTAATTCATTCTAATAAAACTAATCTGCTTTCAAAGATTAGGCCCCAATTAATTGGGTAAATGGAAGAGAATAGTAAAAAAGACAAACAAAAAACCAACACCACAAGAAAGATTTACAAAGGGTTTGTCATTTCTTCCAGATGTTTTGGACCAGCCACGAGGCCTTGTCTGACCCAACACAGCTGAATAAAGTCCCCAAGACATTGAGTTTAACAGATTGAAGTGCACTCTTAGCATGATTCTGACAGATCTCCTATGCCCCAAACTACTCCAAGATGCCCCAGTTCAGGGTAATATTCAGCTGGAAAGAACAATCAGCTATCCTTCTCCATGCCATCCAGGAAAGAAAGGCAACAAACCCCAGTTATCCTTGTTAGCAGAGCTCTGAGTTTAAGTTTTAGAACTAAAAATATTTCAGACCACTCTGTAGAATGACAGAGTCCCAAACCCATCACTTATTGTGGAGTGGTTTGGGCTGGCAAGTCCAACATCCCCTAGACCAGATTGCTCAGAGCCCCATCTTCTTGCTTCTGTGTTTCACCACCCTCATTGCAAAAACCTCCTTCTTTATATCTAACCTGAATTAACCTCCTTCAGTCTGAAACCACCACCCCTTGTCCCATCACAACGTGAGACCCTACAATGTCTGTGCCCACCTTCCAGCTGCCCCTTAGGTACTGAAAGGACACAATAGGGTATCCCCAGAGATTGCTCTTCTCTAGGCTGAAGGCTCAGCCTTGGCACAGGGACTTGCCAGAGCTCACCCTGGGTCAGGGGTGGCTCCGTGTGGTGGAAAAGTCTCTCCTCCAACCCGTGCTTCCAAAAAAAAAGCTCAGAAGTCTTCTGTTGTCCAGTCTCAAGGTATTTTATTGCAAGTTATCTAAAAGATTTTCTCCTTGAGCTGCTGTGGTTTGCTCACAGCTCAGGCAGAGGCACACACACACCCTGACATCCTCTCTGACTCCCGACTGCTTCTTCTCTCCCCGCCCAGGGCTGCTGCTGTCTTTTATATGGTACATTACATTTTACAGGTTTACAGTTTTTCCTCAATGCCTATTACCTATATTAAATGGTGCTTTTCTACTCTAAACCAACCTGTGAGTGCCAACATCACCAAGAACATGGAGGTAAGGAAGAAGAAAGAGGGAGGACAGGGCAGGCCCAGATCCCTCCATCTTAAACTTCTGAACCCCATGTACAAAACCCCCCCTGTATAGCCCTAAAAAATTCTTCCCTTTACTTTGTAACTACTTCTACTATAATACCTAAAGTTTTGTGACTTCTTGCTCCCCCTGCAAGGTTGGTAAATCATTCTATGGCTCAAACCCAAAATCACAGCTGTTTCCAGCTGCCTGCCAGGGTCTCAAATGCTTCTGACCTGGGCCCGGAACATCCAAAATAATCTGAGGGACATTTTGTGTTCCGACAAGGACTGTCTTCTACACTCCCCTGGCTCAATCCCACTCCTCAGATGGAAACTGTACTCCACATCTTGCAAGCCCTGAACAGAGGGGAAGGGTGGGAAGGGTGCCAGCTTCACTCTGCTTAACACAGCCCAGGTCACAGCTGAACAGCAGGAAGAAACTAGAACATACATTAGGGTCCTACATTAGTACTACAGTACAAACACACATCCTTGCTAAACCTTCAAAAAAGCATTATTTGAAATAAAGCTACAGTTTGTAATTAATATGAGCAGTTACATTAACAAAGACACATGGAAGGCAACGAAAAAATTCTGACAGACAAAAGACTGAGCAGCTTTTTCCTCTTGGGCATAGACTTTAATAAGAGAATCAGTCAATCATTCTTTGAAATTCTGCTATCAGGACAAACAGAACATGTCTCCAGGAAATTTAGGATGACGGAGTCTGGAAAAGGAAAAAAAAAAAGAGCATTTCCAAAGCATTCATATCTCCATCCAACATTTAACAGATGCCTTATAAGCCTTGAGCTGCAAGGACTGGAACAAGATGCTCTGTGTATTATTCTCTCACCTCCTCTGTTGAAATCCCTGCCTGTGTTAATACAGGTAGCAGATTTAATGTTCTTACAATGACTCAAAGAGGTTTGAAACACAATGGTAGTTTTTGCAATGCATATCTGACCGAATGGGAATTCACACACACCTCAGAGGAGATTTTACTGCCTTAAGACAGAAGCAGTGTAGAATGTGGTTTAACAACAGTTAGTATTTGCTGATCATTAAAACATTCTGCCCCACCACAATAATCTCATCTTTTAGAGATGTGTGGGCCCAGTGTCCTCACCAGTTTCAGTATCAGAAGTGGGCTGCCCACACACCAGTGAAAAATGTACAGAAAATATTAACTACTAAATTACTCCTAGTCACATTATAAAGCAATGCTCACCTGCAGGCACGTTTTGGTGGCTTTTTATGGTCCAGCAGATCGTCGTTGGACTTTAAAGACAGTGAAGATTCCTGTGCAAGTCAGCCTCGGGCATACATTTGCCAAATCTTTCTTGCACATGCAAGAGAAAACGGTGAGGCGTATGAAGAGAGAAAAGCTTTCAATGTAGAATAGAAGGAAAAAAAAAAACAGTAGTTTTTTTATGTTACAAGACTCTATTACATACTTCTAATTATATTTACTCAGAAAAAATGCAGGTATTTAGAGTTATAATAAAATTACAAAGGCAGTACATTGCAAAAAGCGTTTCCATAGCTATTGCAGTGCTCTTTCCCAAGATTAATTATTAACATTAATATGACTGCATTTTTGAAGTCGGGGATGTGGAATCATGAATTCACCACCAACAAGACAGAGATGCTGCGCACAGTTGCAATGAACAATCTTAAAATGGTTGCAAAAAAAGCAACAGCATCTTTTGCTTGCTATTGTGAAGAGTTATGCCTCACCCTGTCAAGGAGGAGAACAGCAGGATTTTATGTCTTTCTAATCCAGGTAGTTCAAACTCGCAATGAAAAATACCATCACGAGTTATTTACAAGTGGGTTGCACAGAATTTCCCTTGCCAAAATTATTCAGCAGATATGTAAATAATTTTGAAAAGCATCTGGCTCAGAGTTACCAGGTTTTGCACACGGATGTCGCTTTATGCAAATTATCCCCTAAACACGTCAGTATGTTTCAAAATAAGCCAGAGCAATGGACAAACTGTTCTAACTCAACCAGTTGTGGCAGATGGCAGGATGCAGGATGTCTGGAGCCTGCCAGATCCATGGCTTCATCTGGAGAGGACAGCCTTGGGAGGCGTGGCATGTGACCACTACTGCCTTCCCCCCACCATCCTTTTCTCTTTACGCCTTCTACATCCAAATCCAGAAAGTGTTAAAAAGATTAAAGTATGAAAAAAGGCTATTCAGACCCAGTCAGGCAGTCCAGCTAAGGACACGTAAATGCCTCAGCACAGACTTACATATTTTCATCAGATGCTCTCCAACAGAGACCAAGAGCATCTTTGAGAAAAAAAAAAAAAAAAAAAGAAATTACAAAAACCAAGGTGGGTTTTCTTGTCTAAGATAATTTGCTTCTGGCAATCTGCTCTTTGGAGCCTCTTTAACATCAGCCTGGGGATTTTTTTCTCCATAACTCCATCAAATTTCCTTTCTGAACTCTTAGTTTTGCTCCCTATTGCACCCTGTAAAAGTAAATCTCACAGCTTAATTTACTATTTTAGAGGAAAACCAAAACAAAACATCCTCAACAGCTTAAAATTTTTGTGGTGACAGTGTTGCCCAGGAATTTCATATCAAAGCCCTAGGAAAAGCAGCACTGCCAAAAAAAAATCATAAGCACCATAAATTAACACAGAATATCTCAGATTAGAAGGGTCCTACAAGGATCATCAAGCCCAGCTCCCTGCTGCTCTCAGGGCTACATAAAACTAAACCATAAGACTAAGAGAAGTCCAGACATCGCTGAATTCTGGCAAAGCTTGGATATGTTCCACATTTACACTGCACATCCATACAGAACTACTTCACCATAGCCTTGTGTACAAGACAAAAAAACTCTAGATATTAACTCCAGAGGTAGAAGTTTTGTAGCTAGTGTTGCTATCGTGCAGCTAGAGCTGAAAAGTTTTGCTATTTTTCACTTTTAATTGTATTTTTCCCCACATGCACTCAAATTATGCATATTTCTAAAACACAATACCATAAGCGTCCAGCACAGAGCACTGATGCATTAAAAATAAACCTTTCCACACTTAAAAACTTTTAAGAACTCTTGCAATGCTTCTCATCCCATGACTTAATATATTGCAGTACAGATTAAAAATGATAGAATTAAGAGCAATATAAAGAAATTTAAAAAAAAAATCAGTCAGCATTGAGACATTATCTCCCAGTAGAGTTTTTCAGTTTGCATCCCACACAGCTGGTGCCAACAGCTCAAGAGGGAGTTGGGCAAGACAAAATTTTTCCAATGACTTGTGTACTTTGAAGTCAAAATAGCTATCCTATTCTATGTTTTAATTCCTGCTTTCTGAATGTCTGGGGGCAGTCACTTCTGTTTGATTCAGAAATTGCCTTAAAGAAATGGAAAAAAATAGAAAAAGAAAAAAGAAACTAATTTCATTGTAATGGAGAGCCGTGCTTTATTCTGACTTTTGACTTTTGCTGCCTCTTTACTGCACACTGCACCCAACTGTCTTCATGGGGAGGTTTGAACTTGATATTACAGCATGTCTTAGGAAGGTCTTTTCTTTATTAATTAAAAAAGAGGAAATTGTCCAAGTATTTTCAATATTTCTCCTGACTCTTCAGCAAATGCTCTAATATTTAATTACTTTTCATATTTATGTTTGCCTAATGGTGGTTTATGTGAGTATAACAGCTCTACTCGAGCTGTTCTATCATGTTCCAGGAATGCACTGCTCAGATTTGGTCTAAGTAAAATCCAAATAACATTATCCAAATAACATTTCTCATGGAATAATTCCTGACTAGTCATGATGAATTATAAAAAGTCACAAACAAACTTAGTCTAGGAGATTGGTGCTAAATAGCAAAAATAACTGCACTTGTTGCCACATTTATTTTCACATGGCAAGGCAAAAGAAGAAGCTGGATGCTATGTTAATGCACTGGCTGTTTCCCAACATCCTCTTGAACATCTGTTGTATCTTTCCCCTATAAAAATGGAAGTAGAATCAGCACTTCCATTGCCTCTTACATAGCAACTTAATCTAGCACTTTTATTACCCAAAAATGGATTCCAGCAGACAGCCCCCATATCCTAATGCAGCAAATATTCTTATTTCTCTTTTTAAACCAATGAGAAAGATAAATCTGATATTTCCAAGAACTAGAATATTTTCTAAGTTTCTGTAAAACTTACAGAACCAATAGGTCAATAGGATATGCAACCATTAGTAAATTATCTTCTGGTACTACAGTAGCAACAACAAACTGAAAGAATTATGAAATTAGTTGCTTTGTTTAGAAAACAACTCCAATGGAGTCCTGTTTTCCCCAGTAATCTAACAAAATACTATTTGTACAAAGACATTGTTTTAAAAAAACAGAAGTTTTGGTCAGTTTAGAATTTAACAGACTGTACAGCATCAAGTGATGAAATTGAGTAAGAGGGGATGACTGAAATAACATAAATCTATTTCTTTCAGACAATATTAAAACTTCATATGTATCCCTTTGAGCCATATTAAAAATGCACAAATGCTCAGGAGACCTTTCATCTATGAACAGTTTATCAAAGTCACCAAGTTTTAACAGAGTAAAAACCTTTCCACAGAACGAGGGCTTCTCAATCTGCCTTTCCTACATATTATATCTATTACATAGGAAACATGAGAAGTTCTGCATCACATTTTACATTCTAATTAATTTCAACTGTATTCACCTCAAGCATTTTGAAAAGTGAGATCAATTGCAGTCTCCTGGAAAACCTTTTTAGATATATGCAAAATCTCTCAGAACCTAAGTGTTAGGCTAATCCAATAAAACACCCAAAGCAACCCAACTATTCAAATATGTTTCATGTTGAAAATTCCTCCTTGCTGATAAATAGCTTCATGTCAACTTGACTCATGTCAATAATCCACAGCATTATGCAGGAAATAGTTTAAAAGTTCCAGGGTTTTTATAAACTCCAAAGAAAACCATGCATTAGTATTAGAACAAAATGTTTGCTTTTATTTTTCAGCTTCTTCTCCCAGTTCCCTCTGGGTGGGATAAAAATATTTCAAGCCAAGCTGCAGTTAGTTACTAATATAACTGTGCATACCAAAGAAAAACAGATTCATTAAAATACATCTAGCTGTAGAGATCCTCCACAAAGCAAACACCTATCACCACTCATAAAGTGCTGACTGCAAAATGAAAGCAGAGCAGCATTACACAAACTTTATCTTCAGCTGGAATTCAAATTATCAGTTCCATACTCTTCTAGTCTGGAACACTTTTTAATTCTACTATTGATCCTGCTTTCTTTCTGCTGTTGAATACTCACACTAGAACTATGGACACAAACTGAAAATTTTGCAAAAAAACTTAGAAGCATAAAACCAGAGTTTTATCTGGAAGTGAAAGAACATCACACCACCTACAGCCAGTAAAGGCTTTATTAGCCCATCCCAGCTCCACTTAGTACACTCGTTCAGCTTTCAGGATTATTCCCAATAGGCTAAAATCCTGACAGTATTAGTCAGAAAAATTAAATTAGTCTTTACCAAATCACTTTGATATAAGTTATTCCCAGGCTCATTAGATCAATCCTGAACCATTAAAATGCTTTAGTACTGACTGGGAAAGAGTGAGACAATTCACAATTGATTTCCATGCAAGCTAAATTAAATTACATGGAGTTATATGTCTAGTTCAAAAAGAGCAACAACAAGTCAATGCTGTGTGCTTTTTAAAGAAAAAAATTCTCTAATCTCTATTTCCTACAGCAGTCTTTTCCAGTTTCCATAGAGAAAAATCCAACTAATACAGGCATCTAGGTGCTGTGATAGTAGTATGCAGAGATTTTTTTTCTATTTTATTTATGGGAAACATTTAGTGAAAAAAATATGGTTTTTGACCTTCCTTTCCAGAGTCACCTAAAAAGATAAGACTCTATTTTGGGCCTTATAAGTTCTGCATGTAAGACTCCATATGTGGCCATTTCAACTTTATTTGGACCACATACAATTTACATGCAATCTTCTGCTTAATATTGCTTTTTCATTGTAAATTTCCATGGCATTTTCCAGCAGCTGTGTGCTCGGCTGCCTTTGGATTTGTTACTCTTGAAAGTATCCCCCTGACAGTTCCTCAGAGCTGAACGCCTAAATATGATCTAAAAATCTACAAATACCACATTATCTGCCCCTAATGAGGATCCCCAGAGCTCCATCCTTGGTCCTGTGCTCTGCAACATCCTGAATGACTTGGACACAGGATTTTGGGAGATACTAAGTGAGGAGCTGATAAAACATCGGGAGGAACTGTTGTCTCCCTTGAGCCAGAGGAGTCCTGCATAGAGACCTTTATAAATTAGAGGCCTGGGCAATCACCACTGCATGAGTTTTAACATGGACAAGTGCTGGATTCTGCACCTGGGACGGGACAACCCTGGATGTACAGACAGACTGGGGAATGAGAAGCTGGAAAGCAGAGCCAGGAAAAGGGACCTGGGGGTTCTTGGCAAGCTGAATATGAGCCAGCAGTGCCCTGGAGCCAGAATGGACATCCCTGTCCTGGGGGCATCAGGCACAGCATCGCCAGCTGGGCAAGGGAGGGGATTGTCCCACTCTGCCCTGAGCTGGGGCAGCCCCACCTTGAGTGCTGGGGGCAGTTTTGGGTGCCACAATACAAAAGAAGTTATGAAGCCATTAGAAAGTGTCCAAAGGAGGCCACTAGGATGGAAAAGGCTCCAGAGGGGAAGCTGTGTGAGGAGTGGCTGAGGGCCCTGGGTCTGTTCAGGCTGGAGGAGAAGAGACTGGGGGAAGACCTCACTGCACAAATTCTAAAAATTCTTCAGGAGGGGACGAGGAGGGGCAGGCACTGATCTCACTCTGTGGCAGTGACAGGAGCCAAGGCAATGGCCTGAAGTTGTGTCACGGGAGGTTTAGGTTGGATATCAGGAAAAGGTTCTTTGCCCAGAGGGTGGCTGGGCACTGGAACAGGGTCCACACGGCAGTGGTCACAGCACCAGGCGTGACAGAGCTCAGGGTTTGGACACTGCTCTCAGGCACAGGGTGTGACTCTTGGGGTGTCCTGTGCAGGGCCAGGAGTTGCACTTTGGAGTTACTTGTAGGTCCCTTCCAACTCAGAATATTCTGTGAGAATAAAAATTGGGAAATGTTTTAGACAGCCATATCTTTCTACATTTAATGCCACTCAGTTTGTTGTCCCTTGTTATATTAAGTCAGGAAGAAGAAGCAGTAGTAACTTTTTCATATAAATGATAAAAGACCACCCCTGTGCATATTTTAGTCATCATGCCCTTTTGAAACTCACTAATGGTTAACCACAGAAAAATACTGCAGAACATTAAATGCTAATAGAAACTCATGTCCATCTCTCCATGGGTAAATTTATCTGACCACACAGAAATCCCTTAACAAGCTTTGCTTTGCACAAAAAGACAAAAAGTAGTTATTTCATATTTTTGTATCAGATTACAAAAATCTTCACTTCAGGAGAATCAATGTAACACTGGAAGTTGGGCTTCAGACATTGTTCATCAGGACGCACAAAAGTAACCGAAAATCAGGTCCTGAGCTGGGAAGTCAGAGAAAGAACACATATACAAACTATTCCAATGCCAAAACAATTACTTGCCATCTAACATGTGCCACACAACTGCCCAAATACCCAAATGCACTTTCAGATCCAGTTTTCCATCAAATCATTTCTAGCTCTACAGCAACCTGCTCCAAGCAGAACACAACAGAACTTCTAGAATCCGATGGACAAGGTCACAAGATGTTTGATGAACTGCTGTTGTTTGGCATGGGGACAGGAGAAGGTTTGCTGACCAGCAAAAACCAGGAAAAGAGAATGAGAATGCTGTGGGAGTTGTGTGTCTCCAACTCTGTCATCACCAAGAGCCTCCAAGAGCCCAGTAAAAATATGGGCATACGACAAGAGCAGAAGGGAAACACGCACTGTACCAGCAAGGCAATTCTTCCTAGTTTTTAGCAGCTCAAAAATTTAACAGAACAAAGCAGCCTTGGAGACAGAATTTTCACGAGACAATGTGGATTGCATGTTACACTAATTACAAAGCTGTTATTAGTAGTGGAGAAATAATCTGCCAGCTGGACAGCCTAAGCCCACAATAAAGTGCAATGTGGGAAAGAGTCAGCTTTAGAGGCACATGGGACAGGGGAAAAGGGAAAACATAGCTGCTGTTCTGGAATGGTGCAACACACTTCTGGCAATTAAACTGCCTGCTGCTAGAGAAAACATTCAGCAATGCATCTGAAAAAAAAAAAAAAAAAAAAATTATCCTTTCCCACAGAGATTCACAGGTGCTGTGTGAGTTGTTCAATAGGAGGATTTTCAGACTGTCTTAGCATGTGATTCCTCTGAGCAGATTAATTTGATACTAGATTTTTTTGTTGTCTGGAATCTTCTCAAGTCAAAATCCATACCCAATGCACTTCTCTGCTCAGTCCCAAAAATGGATTTGTTCTAGTTCTCTTAATAGTCGAGTACAGAAGCAAACCTTGTGGTTTCCCCTTTATAAGCAAAGTAGGGTTTAGAGGAAATTAGTCGAGAAGCTCAGGCTTTAGCTGTAAACTATGTGATACCCCATAAGTGTCATCTGGAGAGGAATCAGAGATGCATCACAAGATGAAAAAGTGAATTTTTAGCACGGCAGGAACAATTCTATGCCTTAGAATACATTATGCCTTAAGTACATTGTATGTATCTGTACATGAAGAAAATTCCTATTATGCTGTCATTTTTCTAATGCCTGAAACCAAATCATAAGGTCAATAGTTGTGAAACAGATCAAACCCAATTCGGCTCCCTGCAGGTGGTCATTTTCCCTGCATTAAACATTGCAATGTACAAGAAATAGTCTAGTAAATAAAGATGCTCGGAGACTAAATCTCCTAAGAGCACATCTGTCCAGTTGCTTTTTACCACAACTCCCTTAGGTAAAAAAAAATCACTTGTCACACTATTTCTATCTTTTAAAGTAAATATGCTTCTATTTTATCTGCTAAAAGTGTTTCTGACCTACAGTTAGTAGACTCCTAGCACCTTCCTGTGCTCTTTCTCCTTTCAGCACAGCACTAGTAACTCCATAATAACAGCTGCTTCAGTGGCAGGGACTGTAAATGATATCTTTGCCAATAGAAGTCTAAGTTTTATAGAAAGAACATATTCCACAAAGCTTTTATTTAAAGCATTTTCGTAGAAATAACCTTGCACTGAAGACTGGACAAAAGACAGAGAAACTCCACAAGCTGTCAGGAGCAAGAATTGAAGAGAACATCTTGCAAGGCTTTGATTTTTAATTAGAATGCAAGGTGCTTGAAGCAAATGGTACAACTGAGATGGTCAATTAAGAGTGCTGTGATTGTTCTTCTACTGTAAGACCCCCTCAACCTTGCAAAAGACAGAAAATCATTACAAAATCATTAATGCTTCAGTGTCTATGCAGCTATCCTTTGGAGAAAAAAAACCTTATTTTTATCAAAACACAGATACGACTAGAGTAATTTTATCTTCTGGTTTCCAAGGAGACAAGTGACCTCTATAGACTTCTCCTAACAAGCGTATCAAAGTCATATCAAAGCAAGTAAAGCCATGAAAGCCATAAGAAAGTAGCTCAATGCAGAGAAAATCTGCTACAACTTGGGTAGTTTGCCAGCACAGCTCCGCTATTGGTGTCACTTCCCGAGATTCCTTTTAACAGAGCATTCTCTGCAACAGGTATTACCAACCTTTACTTCAAGGCAAAATAACAGGCAGGAAAAGCTCCAGCATGGCAGCACAGACAGAATATCACAACCAACAGCAGGGGCAATAATCTAGCTTTAGCACTCATGGGGCACACATTCCTGAGACCCAAAATCCATCCTTTCACAGCCTGTCAGCAATGCCTTGAAGCCAGCATTTATGTTGTATCAGCAATTCTTTATTTTAGCATTCTGGATTCTCTGGAGGGTTCTGCTTTCTTCCTCAGCCAAGCTCAGGAAACCTACTGGAGCCCACAGGATGTATAATCACATTTTCAATGCCTTCCTAATCTACAAAAAGCAGATTTGTTTTGGCAAAGTGCACAGTTAAAGAGATTCACTGTCTTTTCCCATGTCTCTATTGTCACTCACACGTTCTCAACACACTAGGGAAACATTGAACCAGCTTTTTCTTGGAGAAAGTGTTTCAAGTTTCTCCAGTTGAAGAAGTTAAAGTTACTCCATTCATCCCCAAGTCAGAATCTGAGGTATTGATGATTCCCAGATTGTAGAAAGTCTCTGTCTTTCAGCCCCGCTGCCAAAGCAGAAGCCATAATTCGTCTGTGCTGGTTTCAAGGTTGTTTATTCTGTTTATCTCTAACATGTTCTGCTGCCCTGCCGCAGCTCTGTCCTGCAGGGCAGCGTGTGGGGCTCTGCCCTCAGTGGGATGTTACAAACATTAAATACCAGAAACTACCTGTGCTGGATTTACAATAACGTGCCAATATCTGTCACCTACGTTGGACAGTGTGTCCCCAGCCTAAACCAACAGAAAAATGCCAACACCACAGTGAAACATGGAGGGCATGAAGAAGGACAAGACACACCCAATTTCCTCCATCTTGTCCCCTTTGGACCCCTTATCTAGAATCCTAAAATTTTACTTTTGCACCCGTGCCACACTTAATAATTATATCAAACACTCAGAGCTTGTAATTCATCCTGTAAGATTGAAAACTCTTTTCCATGGACAGAGATCACAGACAGTGTCTCTGGGGGCTCTGTCCAGGGGGGTTCCTGACCCCCTGCCAGGGTCCCAGACCTGCCAGGGCAGCCAGAGGGAAGCCCTGGATTCCCACACCCAAGTACCTGCACATGTTTTCTGTAGCTCACCCTCATTTTCCTGCTGGTGTTCCTCCATGTATTCACTTCAGGCAGAGTGCTGCAGAGGTGACACGGAGATGCTGCAGGACTCCAGGATGCTGCTGGGAGCAAAGAGCATGCCTGGGGAAACTTATGACTAATTTCACCCTGTCCTGATCTAGCTCAGCTGACAGCAACAAAAGGAAGTAAAAAAAAACCCCAAAAACATTAAAATATATGAAAACCCTAGACAGCAATTCTACACTGTAATTGTGCAGCAGATTAATGGTTTACTGTGGTAATTCCAAGATCAGCTTTAGAGCCCTGTATTACTCGTGAGGTAGGGCTGGGAAAGTGTCCTTGAGAGATTCACTACTGTTGGTGGCAAGTTCCTGCATCCTAAATATCTACCTGGGCACAGGCTAACCAAAAACTCAGGAAAAGCGATGAGGAAAAGTTTTGATTCAGGAGACAGAAAAAAAAAAAATCAGGTGGAAGAAACTGTTATTTTAGACCTGACTAATGAAGCGTTTGAGAATATAAATGTGTGAAGGTGTTTTGAATGAGATCATGAGAGACAGCGCCAATGATTCTGCAGAAAGTAAGAAGTGAGAAAAGCTGAACAGGAGCAAGACAGCTCCAGGTCAAACTCACAGGTGCATCAGATGAAGCACAATGCTGACAAACAAGGGGGAAAAAACATTGCCATGTAATGCCAGAAATGGGGGCTGCAGTGTGAAATGGTTTGTGGAAAGACACAAATAGCAATAAGAAACATAAAAAACTAGACCTAGACAAATACAAGTCCAGGATTTCTCCAATAAGACAAATTGCAAATGCAAAACTCCCCAAACACTTTCAATACCTGTTTTGCTTAATCTTCAAAGGAGACCAAGAGATCAGATATTGAGCACAGCTGGTGATAAGAGATAATAGAATAAGGAAAAGAGCTTGAAATAAAACTAGCAAAATCCCAACACCACAGAACATTCCAACATACACAATGATAAGGGCATCTTGCTGGAGGATTGATCTAGTGGTCCTATTCCCCTTGATCCTGCAGCTGAAAAAACACAGAAAGAAGAGAATGTAAAAGAAAAAAACCCACAAGGCGAGGGCCTGGTGAATGCTCAGGTACAGGGCTTTAATCCACTACCAACTCAACAGCAGAACTGTCACTCAGGTTTTTTCCTCACTGCAATTAGTGATGAGTTTTACAGGCAACCAGCTGTAACCCAGGCTTCTTTCTCCCACAGATTTCTACATTTTCACACCCTTTTGTTGCCATATACATACTGCTCTTTCACATTCCACCCCTTGACCAGTCAGGCATGTCTTACACTCATTTGGTTTGTAATTCTCTCCTTGTTTGTATGGGACAAATAGAATCAGTACTCACATAAACTTATTTTTAGAGAAAAAGTGCTGAAGTTACCACTTTTGTTCTTCTCTGTCTCAGAGGTTCTCTGAGAAATTCGTGTAGCTCATTCATAGAGCATCTCCCCGGTGCTGCAAGCTCTCATTACAGGGATAGAAAAGAAAATGAATCCGAAATCAAGTGCTGAGCATTCACAGCCCTGTGCTTGCTCCTCCTTCTCCTTGGAAGCAGAGCCTCACCTAATTACAAGGCCCTCAGCACTCCCAGCTGTGTGGTACAACGTGACACAGGCGTGCAGCATCCTTTCAGAAGCAAGGTGGGAAACGTGGACCTCTCACACAGGGAGCTCTGTGACAGGGCATCTGCCAGAATTCCTGTGCTGATAAGCATTTGATGATACTGAAGGCTGCATAAATAGACAGAGAGATGAAGGTAGATAAGAAAAGATGTGACAGAGATTGACAAACACATTTTGGGGTACAAGTGTTACAGCGCAGTCAGCAGAAAGCCCAAGGCAAAGTAGTGTTTTATTAAAGTAAATCACAAAGCATGGAGAAAGGCTAAGCAGGCTTATCAAACCTTCTCTTTTCATCACAAATAAAAAAAAAAAAAAAAAAAAAAAGACTGATGCTTGCAATTTAAAGAAAGGTCTGACTATTATGAACCTTAGCCATGGAATTCTCACTGAAACTGCTGTTTTTACAAAAGGTCTTCTCTCTCCCACTGGCAAACAACAAAGCATTGGACTGTGTTCAAAAGTCCTCAGCTAAAAGCAAAGTAACAGGTTCAAAACCACAGTATGTCAAAGAGCTAGAAATAAAAAAGCTGCAGTATAATTTGGCTGGGTGTATGAGTTTTATTTTTTTTACTACAAGCAAAAGTCTTCACATCTGTGCCATTTGTGATTTATTGATGAACAGGTGAGTAATATTTGCTGTTCAATCTTAATTCGAGGGAAGTAAAGGATCTATTTTACCTGCCATAATGTAAATTTATTATGTAAAATTGGTTATTTTACCTCTAATTTATCATAGGAAAGCACAGGATCCCTGCAGCAGAAAGTCTTCCAGTGACTCCCAGCTGCTGGGTGGAAGCACTTAGCTTAACATCACAGAACATCATTGTCTTCGACCACCAACCTGCTGATTTTTCAAGGCAGCAGGATGCTGGCAAGGCCTCAGCACTCAGAACATCTGGAGCACTCCAGCAATCTTAGGTGTTGCCAGCCTTCTCTTACTCTTCTCCTCATACCTTTTGGAAAAGAGTTTAAAGCTGACAGTAAATATGTGCATGCAGTTAGCCTTGATATAAAGCATTTCCTGAAATCTCTTAATAAGACAAATATGAACCAACAGTTTTCATTCATTTCTGATAAGATCTCATTCAGTCTGAAAACACAAGATCTTAAATATGATGCTGTAAATTCAAGACCTGAAAACTGATTTTTCCATTCCTGATGTTGTACTAGCAAACTGTGTTTACAGATTCATTCTAATCTGGGTTTTCTGCTCCCAATCTACTCTGACATCAGCCTTCCAACCTAAATTCTGCTATTTACAGGTAGGATATTGCATTAAATTAATGGTGATTCCTTTGTAAAATTGATAAACTTGATTTTTTTCCAAGAGAGAATATATTTTATAAGTACCCATCATCAAAAGGAATAAATATTTTAAAAATTCTACCATTCAAAAGGTTGAAAAAACACAATTTGGCAGCTGCCAAGCTGAGAAGCACCGGAATGAATCAGAGAAAATGTGCTTGGACTGCATTTAATCTATCTGAAGAATTATGTGTACAGCTTTTTTGATAGTCTCATGGTGAGGAAGGCTTCACCACACACATCCATGCTGGCTCCCCTGGATGGGAGCCAGGCTTTCCAGGAGATCTGCTGCCATGGAGAGATCATAGCAGGTTGACACATTTTTCAAGAGAGCACAGCACACAAAGTACTCCCTGTGCTTCTCCTAGAGTGAGGCTCTCCTTGGAAGAATCTAGCCCAAAGAGGGAGGGCTTGAGCCTTTCTCCTTACACCCTGAAAATGTGATGCAATTGCACAGGGAAAGGCTGCACATGAACACTCTTAGTGAATAGGACAGCTTTCTGTGGAAGAATAGCCATCTCTGAGAGTGAAAATGTGTGGATGTGTACTAAATTGGTTATGTATATTCATTATTTCAACAGGCTTTCCAATCAAAATTTTACTTATGATTTCTCCTGCGCAGGTATAAACTCGATTTATCTACCAAAGTAAACACAGCAGAGAAATTAACAGCTATATATTTCTAGGCTAGAGGTGTCAAGCAGAAAGTCTGAAGTCCAGAAAACAGAATAAGGAACTAAATTCAGTAATCCATACACAACTGCCTGGAGGTTGGGAAGAAGAGAAGGTGGACTAAATAGTACTGAGGATCACCATAGGAAGGCCTGTAAACCTAAAACTGGTTTTGGATTAGACCTCTATTTTGGACAAAAATTACTTGACTGGGTACCTAGAGAATCAGGCTGGTATCACTTGGCTAGGTTTATTAATTGGAATAAGGAGGCTCAGACTGTGAACAGGGATCAGGAAAGCAGGGGCTAAAACCCTAAGATGATGCTTGATTCTAGTGATGATAAATGAGAAAAAAGCTCTACTTATATAGCAATTCAGAGGATATTTAATCTGGACTCTGCTCCAGCTGGACATCTTACAGATGTCTTCTAAAATGTAACTCAAATTTCTCAGTTTCAACCTGAGGATGAATTCAGATGTATCTTCTTTCCATCTGATACAATTATGGGGTAAGCACAAGTTAATGATTTATTAATGATTTATAATTTAAATGGGAAGTGCAAGTCACATGGCCAGGGATACATTAAGAGATGAGGGAAAAAATCTGCAGGACTAAATCTTAAAAGAGTTTCTAGCATGGGAAGACAAATAACAGCCCAATGGTGACAGCTGAGACTGTAGTCAGGGATGGCTCAAGAAAGGAGAACTCATGAAGCTGAAACAGGCATTAAATCATAAAAGACAAGCAAGACCACAGGTAAAAGTATGATAAAAATATATAAGTAAGGTAGAAGCTATGCCTAAAATGTGACTTGCACCTGCCACATTTTAGCTCTGTGGCTCTTAAAAAAAAATCCAGCAGGCACTTAAACCCCTGCAGAATGGACTGTGCCTTCCTATCCTGTCCATAGGACTCACTTCATCCCTGCAAACCCTTCAAGACTCAGGCTGGCAGATGCTCCTGAAATGAGAGTTGGAGGAAGCAGGGCTAAATGAGCTGTCACTCCAGTTCAGGCAAGTACCAGCCAGCCCTACAACTGCACTGGGAGGCAGCTTTCAGGAGAGCAGAGAAGCAGCAGTGAGATGGGTGCTGCAGGCTGAGAGCCTCCCAGGTGACCTGGTGGACAGAGGTGTAGACAAGCAAGTCCCCCTGCCAGGCTGAAAGATGGAATTTAGGTTAAGGACAGAGTTTGGAAAAGGAGAGCATATGCAGCTGAGTGATAGAGCTCGACATGCTCACACAGCTAAAATAGGAGCTTGAAGAAGCAGGAGGCAATGTCATGTCACTCCTTCTAAAGCTGGCATGAGACTCGTGGGTGCAGCTGGGACTGGGCAGGTACAGGGAAACTCTGGAGGAGAAAACAGCCATGGACTGTCAAAGGTGGGAAATAAGGACACAGGACTAAAACCACAGAAGAATTACTACTCCTGCTACAGCAGGCACAGAGCCTCTGGCAATAATCCAGAGAGGTTAGGCTGGTTTAAAGTTAGGAAGGCAGAGCTGGAAAGCTGAAATTGATGGTGATTGTTTAAAACCTTACATGGAAAAAATGAAGACTGGAGGGAGGAGAGGGGATTTATCTATCATTCTGTTTAAGACAGATACCAATTTATAGCAGCAAAAAAAGGGCTGTATTAGACATAAGAGCCCCCAGAAGGCTGCTATTGCTCTTTGAGTGCTGAGCACAGCCAATTTAGTTTGTACTTGTCCAACAGCATAGGCTCTGCCTTCTCAAAAATCAAGTACAATGGGAAAGGTCTAAAGGTCTGACAGAAATATCTGCTATTGAAGACTAAACTTAAGACTCAAGTAATGCTCCACACAAATATCACACAAAACCAGTGCTTCCTAAAAGAGCTAGCAATCACCAGCAGTCTCCAATAAAGTACTTTTCTTTTTACCAGCTAACAGAGGTCTTTGTACATCATAAGTAATGCAGATTGTGGCAAATCATTGGCTTCAGCTTTCAAGTACTACCTCTCTGGAATTTTTAAGCATCTCTTGAAAGGCAGACCTTGTGAGGTTCAAGTAGTTACAGGCTTGGACTAAGAAGAAAGAAGAGAACTGCTTACCTTGAAAAGGAAAACCCCTCCATTCTCTCCCACAGCAGCTTTGAACCATTTTCATTTTAGGCAGGGGACACTGTTAAAGGATGTCTGGCATTAGGATCTGCAGGTGGTTACACAACACCAGAGTTGTCTGTAATCTTGGGGTTCTGAGAACTCATGAAGATGATTGATGCATGCTTTTGTTCAGCTAGAGACTGAGGAGTAAGTTACCTTCAATCTGGCTAAAATTAGGTTAGTCATGGTTACCTCTCTCATGATTTAGTAAGGTTAACAGTAAGCAAACATACAGTAATAGCCAGCTGTTCTCTGAAAATGCAGACTTTTTTGTGCTTTGCAATGAGAAAAAAAAAATCATGGCATTTGTAGCACCTTATATTTCAGAAAGAAAATTTCTACAATTGTTCACAGAGAAAAAGAAGGAATTACAGAATTTCCCTTAAAAGAAGGCTGTCAGAACCCTTTGGGTTTCCACATACAGAAGCAGACACACAAGGTGACAATCCCATCCTAAAGTTTCACTCATTAATCTGACATCACATGAGGATATTACAGTATTAGGAAATTTTAGTCCTTTCGCTTGGCATTTTCAGTTCTGATGATCCACCCAAATTCTCTTCCCCCAAGCCCCTAAGTAGCAGTGTTCATATTAGTTTATAATCCAGTCTGCTGCAGTGTAGTTAAAAGCATCTCGCTGTTTTTAATTTCATAACAATTTCTTTCATAGTTCCAGTGCTTTCAGGCTCAAGGCGCCTCCTCTGTATTTCTCTGTGTCACCCTGCACTCTCTCTGTTCTTACTGGTTTTATTTGGATTTGATGCTCAGCATCTTTTAGAACATAATCTTGTTTTATAGACATAGGCTTTAATGGCTCCTTAGGGCTTGCCTGGTTATTGCTGTTTGCCTGGGATGAGCATGCAGTGCTCCCAAAGTCACTGATGTGGCACCACGGGCTCTGTCCTGCAGCAGCTGCCACCAGCAGTGAGGAGGGATGACAAGAACCAGAGGAGAAGCAGATTGTCACCCCCTTCACCCCATGACACACAACATCTGCTGGACTGTACATCAATGGGAATTAGCCCTTCAGCAGCTCCCAGAAGGAGACTTACAAGACTCAACAATTTACCCATACCTCCAACTATCTTTGCTGTGTCCAAAGTAGAGCTGTATTGCCCCAGATAGCCCAGCCTCTCTCCAGTTCAGGTTGTTCTGAGTTTAGGAACCTCTCCCACCTTTGCAAATACAACCCCTCCTAAAACAGCCAGAGTGCTGTTTTCCTAACCTCTCCTCATTAGGCTGTTGGCACCACTCTGGGAGATATCAGAGATGGCTTTGAGAGAATAATTTTAAATGTTGAGGGCAGGATTGTGAAGATTTGAGATGGACAAGCACAATTTTGGTAACAAGGACTACATTGCATAATCTTGCTATCAAGCATTCTTTCTGGTAAGTCTGCAACGTCATCTGGCAGGGAGAACAGAAGTCCATGCATTATTCCAAGGAAGCAAGATACAGTGCCACTGTTATGCCTACAACATAACTATAAGAAAACTATTTTATGGCTGTCCATAGTCAAACATAAAATGCATGAGTAGAGCCTGGAAATCTTACCAAGTGCAATCAATGAAAGAAAAAATACTGAAAACCACCCACTTCCTACAGCCATATGAAGATATTATGAGCAAGACAAAGAGTACAAGAAACTATAAAAGTAGGGCATAAAAAGATATTTCAAAACTGTTTCATTTGCTACCCTGCACGCTTTTACTTTTTTTTCCCTAGGGTAACAAATGTTGTCACACTCCAGGGCCTCATTTTAAAACAAAGAAGCAAAAACTGAAAACTGCACAATACTTATTTTGTTGCCTTAGATCTACAAGGGATACCAGAAAGCCAAAAATTCCACGAGGAAATGATAGTGTAAGTTAACGTGGAGAGCTGAGATGAACAACAAGAACAATGTAGGCTGAAATGAATCCTCACTTGTATTTGCTAGAGTAAAGCAAGGTGTATTGAAAGAGGCCTCCCTGTTATGTTTTATTTCTTCTCCTGACAAAAATAATGAAGGTGATGGAATTATACTTCACACTTATGGAATTATAAAGAATTGGTCTGGCTAGTGTCTTAGAATATTTAATCCCTTTACATCAGCAAAGGGATTCGCTTGCAGAGAAAGCGTGCAGCAGAGTGAATGCTGTAATCTTATCCTTTAAAAAAATGGTTAGCACAGAAATTGTCCATTTTACTCAGGAGGATGCAATTACATTTCAGCTTTCATGTAAAGCTGCTTCATAAAATTGAAAAGCCTGCACATGAACAGAAACAGAACAGCAGGGGAAAAACAAAGACTGTGGCTGGCTGGCTATGGATCATTTCTCCTTTTCCACATGGTTTGAGGGAAAAATAGCTGGCAGCACTGGGTGAAGACAATCTGCAGTAAACAGGCTGGTACCAGCCTGCTGACCTAATGGCAGCAAGGAGTCTGGACTGAAGAGTTCAGACTCCTGGGGAAAGCAGGTAATCCAACCCTGCATGTCTGTGAGTAAAGACTTTATGAGCTACATAAGAGGAAAAAAAAAAAGAAAACAACCACAGGGGAAAAAAAAAAAAAACAACCACAGAAAGAAAACAACAGAAGATAAATGAGAAGTCATCTGAAGTCTCAAAGGAGGAATAAGAATTTTGTTCCCAACCCTAATCCAGATGCTGGGACTAAAATAGAGAATCCCACTCACCGCTTACTCTGCCAAAGCCTTCGAGATACAACAACACAAACTGCCAGGAAGGCTTTGACTGAACAGGTTTCTGTAAAGAAATGCCAGTGTGTTCATTTGGTTTGGGAATGCTCATAAGAAAAATAAACTTTCTGAGACAGTCAAGGAGAAAATAATTTAAAAGGTGAGTCTTTGTTCCTTCCTCCCAGCTGGATATGGCAATCGGAGGAAACTCACACAGAAGGACGTATCAGGCATTTGCTTCAGGGAGCTCTCTTCCCAAGATGACAGTCTTTGGTTCAATCAAGACAGTTCCACTATTATCAGAAAAACCAAAAAACTCCAAAACACTTGGAAAAAAAGCCTTGTTTTCTGCCCACGCTAGAACAGGAGCTATCATGAAAGTTCTCCAAATTTCAAATAGTCAGATAGATATTTCTCATTCATCTCTGGTTGCATGACAGTTTAAATTCAGATACAAACTGTAAATATAACTTTCAGGTCAGAGACTCTCATCTTAAGAAATTACACTCAGATTATGTAAGGCTATAGTAAGTTAATTAAAATTTATTTATCAATGTTGGTTTCAATATGAAAAACAGAAAATCCAGTCAGAAGAGACTGTTTCTACAATCACATGGATATGGCTTATCTTGTGAGACATAACTGAGTGTAAATCTTGACCTGTTAATTATCAAGGTCTTTACTGTGTAGTGTTAGATACTTTGATCAAAGGTTAAAATCTTCCATAAGAAACAGATGAGTATTTGGAAAAAAAAACGGTGATAGGATATTTTATTATAATTTCTCCTTGTTTTCTGAGTATAAAGTTGTTGGACAGAACAAAAAGCTCAAAGATTTTTTTGATGGATATCTTAAAAACATCTAGTTGCTATCAATAACAAGATTAAATTCCTGTACCCTTGATATTTGGCATGTCTGCCAAGGAAAAACAAAATTATTAGCAATAACATCTTTGCTATGTAATGTGGAGATTTAAGTCACCATTGACTTCAGTGAGGAGACCTACCAATAAAAATCATACCACACATTCCTTAGTTTGATAAAGCATACACTGAGAAGTAGACATACTTGTCTTGTTTAATCATTTTTTGGTTTTGGGGTAAAAGTGAAAAAAGAGAAAGTGTGAAAAGTTAAGTCCACTGTGAAAGAAGTACACTTCTTTCAGAAGAAAGAACTGTAAAGGTTTCATCTCCCAGTTCTTTTGTTCTATGCAACTCTACAGTGCTGAAGTAAGCCCACAATTTACAGTGGGAATTTCAGATGTAGAGGACAAGATGAGATTAACCTCAAACTAAAATTCCCACACAGAAAAACAAATCTCAGAACTGCCTGCTGCCATGTACTGAAATACCCCAAACACAGATCACTTTGCTTTTACCCAACTTTGGGAGTAAAGGCTGCTTGACAGTGTGGGAAAAGCCACCACAGTCCTCACAAAGAATTTGCTGGGAGTTGCACTGAATGTTGAATGACCTGAGATGGGCTGCATTTGGAACAATTAAGGAAACCTTTTATGTTTTCTCTGAACTTAATACACATTCAACAGCAACTGCAAAGGCATGTTTATTCACTCAAGAAAAATATTTAAAATCAGAATAAATATTTGCTAAACTAAACCACTTTTAAGACATTGATGTAAAATGTTTTTGCAGATTTTCATTTGAGACAAAAATGCATTCTCACTTAAATTATTTTCTTATTTGGTTTGATCACCTTCTATTGAATAGAAAACTGCATTTACTTTCCTGTATGTTGTGTTGATTATATTTTGCTCCATTTTTCTGTGTAATCATACTCAATTTCTATTTGAAGAAACCAGAAAACCTGGCCACAAAACCAACAATTTTTTCCATAGTCATAATATAATTCTCTTTTAGAAAAGCTTATGAAACCTGTTTCTTTTAGCTTTTTCTCACAGGAAATGCTTACAAAACATTGTTTTGTAAGATGATTTTTTGTTTCTTTTTTCTGGAGACTCTTCAACTCATCTATATCTGAAATTGCAGTATCCGAAACTCATGTTAGATGAAGCATCAGCAATTTCAAATCAGAACAATTATGTCCTTTGTCTTTCATGCAATATTCCTCACTATATGCTGCAGAGTCACATTTGTCTTTTTTTGAAGTAGCTTCACATTGTCAGCTTGCTCTGTTTGTTTAAAATTAGGCCCCCATGAACCTAATTTTGTGTCCCAAACCCTGTTCCAGCCAGCACAAGTACAGGGTGGATTATGCATTCTTCACCTTTTATTTTCTGATATGGGGGAAAGAGGCCACTGACTTTCACACACAATCCATGGAGTCAGACACACACCTCAGCAAAATTCAAACTAGCTCTGTTACTGGCCAAGGAGATTGCTGGCATCAACCCACTCCAACACCCCTGCAGAGACAGCCTCAGGGAATACTGGGACCAGCACCATACTTTACATTTCCCCTCTTTCCTTCAGACTAAAAGGGCTCCACCAGCCACCTGGAATACTGTCTAGAATCTTCTTCCAAAGACAGGCACTGCCTCAGGAGGGTTAAAATCCAAATATATAGTAGCCAAAACAGCAGGATTTCAGTAAAACAGAATAGATCACAGTAAAACCTCACACAGATCACATTGGAAAAGGTGAGGCCAGGAGTCATTTCATCACAGAAAAATATTTTTTTCCCACAGATTTTGGCTCACAGAACAACTTATAGATGGCCTGTGCCCTCTGCCTTGCTAAAGCAACCTTAACTCTTCTGGCTGCAGAGATGCTCCTGTGTTGAAAAGAGCTGAAAAATCTCAGTGCCTAAAGAAGAATGAACATGGCTCTGAAAGCTAACAGCAGCTGACAGAGGCTGGAGAATATTTCTGTGACAGCTTCAATATTTAACCAGAAATGTATGGAACATGAATCTCAATTTCCTATGTAGCGTTTTGGCGTGGACTTTAGTTCATGGAGTAATTAATGGCAAAAGAAACCCAACACTGTGAACTAGGTGCTTACCTAGTTTCTTAGCAAGCAACTCCTGTATTCCAGAAAGTAATCATTTGCAAGAATTTATTTTTAACATAAATTCTGCTGTAATATGAAAGTTCAACTGCTACTGATTGTCAGTTTCCCCTAGATTTAGGCAACAATGTATTTTGGGAGTATGACTCAGGAAAACATTCACATGACCAAGTAAAGCAGGTGGCCAGGACCTACCACACAGCATCAGCTTCATCAGAACATCCTCAGAGAAGGAAAAATAGCTCCTAGCTGTTTGGGGAGATGATCACAGGGTGGAAGAAAAAGCTGTTCAAGGTATAGATTATAATTATTACAACAAATAAAGCAAATTGCAGTGTCTTTTGCCTCAGTATCACAAAGAGATAAATTTCTAAAAAACACAATTCTGCTGATGGAAGTGTTCATATTGTGTTGAAAAAAACTAATTTACACAAGGGACTCAGTCACAAGTTTAAATTATGCCTCTGCCAAAGAAACAGCTTACCTGGTTCTCCCTCAAAAGTATCTCACACTGCAGCACAGCTCATTTATTCCCCCAGTGTTTCATCTGCAATAGGGCAGAGGAGCTGTTTGCTGGGAAGGGAGATGCCCGAAATCCCATAAAACTCTCCCCCGTCCTGTGCCCAGATTGATGCCCAGCACTGGGCCCTGTGGCTGCACAGGAGCAGGAACCTGGCACACATTGCACCGAGGTACCACGAGTTGCAGTGTGGGCAAAGCACCCTGTTCCTCTGGGATTCCTTTGTCTCCTCCTTCATCTGGGTGAGAGGGATTTGTTATTGTTCCTCTGGGATTCCTTCCTCTACTCCTTCACCTGGGTAAGAGGGATTTGTTATTCCTGTCATTCCTTTGCCCAGAAACAAGGCTGTGCCCAAGTCAGCTGTTACAAATCTGGGCAGTTTCAAGGTAAGTTTTGCATCCTTAGCCAGAGATTTGAGGGAAGGGTTCTGCCTCAGGATGCTCAAACCAGCACACCAGGAGCACTGCAGGGGCAGCCCTGATGCACACCCACCTGCCTTTAGGGATATGGGCTGTTCCTCTTAACTAGAACCAGAAGTGTTCTGGCACTTGAAATGGTGTGCATGCATGTGCTACAACTCTGATTTGAATTCCTGCTTGTGGCAAAAGGGATTTTTAGCCCAGAACAAACACCACTTCTACATTTCCCACCTCAGGAATACCTGGCAGAAAGCATATCCTTGATGCAGTTAACTGGCTATTTTAAACCAAAAACTGCCTTCTGGATGGACTCCAGTCTATTTGATTAGATGTTAATCAGAACTAAGGAATAAAAATTTTCACCCCTCCACAAGGAGACTTTTGGATTTGGTTCACTTGCAAGCAGATCCCATCTGACATGTCATTTAATTTTAAAAGTTTTCTAGATTTCGCTATCTTTCAAAGTCCATGACTACAGAAACGCTGGTGATATCTGTAAGTTACAAAGCATGAATTTAACATGAATCAAAAATGAGGGTTTTTTCCTTGGGTATTAAGAATTTGGTTTGGACTTTGGTTTGTTTGTTTTTTTCCTTTTTTAGGTTAAGGTTCTGTTATCTCTTTAAGTTCAAGGATAAGGGACCAGATTCTCCTCACTGAAAGTCACTTCCTTAGCATTCTCTTACAAATTCATCATAAAGCCACCAAACATCTTTATTTCTTTCCTTTGGCTAGGAAATGTTAATTTGTAGCTGCAAGCATCTGAGTAGAAATACATTAGCAGAGCCTTCCTGCAGTCCACATAGTGAGCGAGCTACTTACTATAAGTAAATAGTTCCTATTTACTTATAGGAACTATACCACTCAGTGAGCTTGTCAGTAAGAGTTAAATAAATAAAAGTTGTATTAGACAGTGTGATTACAATTTTCAGACTATACATTCTTTTTTCTGCAGATAATTCTGCTTTTTGAACTAGAGAAAAAAATGCTTTAGAGGTAATAACATTTACTTTATTAAGTGGCTTTAAGAAATGAGCATGCTTCAGGTTTTATACAGATTCCTGAATACTAGCTAGACTCTTACAATTATAACATTTTTCTGGGCAAGCTACTTTCGGTGACAGATCATCATTCCACCTTGCTCTATATTTTATAATATAAAGCCCATTCCACTGGGCTCTATATTTTATGCATTTACAAATACTCAAATTATATTAACTTGGTTTTTTTTTACCTATTAGCTGCATAAAATGCAGGACCAGCTCCTGTTGTTATTGTCTGGCTCCCATCAGCATGTTAACATAAACAACAAATTTCAGGGTGCGTTAAGACACCCCATTTTCAGGAGGTTCTTTTCTGATATCAAACTTTCAGCTTCCTTAAGAATTTGGATATTCCAGCATGTGAGGGAAGGATAGTAGGAAGAGTGCCTCATAATTTTATTGGACTATCTTCAACGTTCAGGTCCAATGTTAAATTCTGATTTATTAGTATAGCAGGCTATCTATGGCTCTCCTTGGAAGCACGAAGGTCCTTCAATGGTTCTTGTGTGTTTATTAGCAAGAATAGAGAGCTGGTAATCAGGGATGAAAAGCCAGATAAAATTGCAGAATCTGAAGGGGAGATAAAAACCACTGACTGCAGAGACAGGACTTTCAATCCATGTGAGCAGTCAATAACAAAAACCACAAACCACAGACTTGGGAATTCAACAATTCTCCTCAAGCTCAATTCACTCTCAAGGCTGAATTATTCAGTACACTTCTTTTTGTTCTCCCAGTAGAGTTTGCAAAAGCTGTCAAGGAAGAGATTGTCAAATTAGAAGGTAAATCAGAAGAGATGTGTTTTCCTCCCTCTTTCTCAAGTTTTAAGGAAGCTTTCTTAAGATAGATTAAAATTGCATGTGACATGCTACAGCACCCAGAGTACTCTCTGTTAACAGTGTGAATGGTATAAAGATCAAGAGAAAAAAGGTAATCTGTTATAAAGATGTCATGAAAGTGGTCCATCATACCAAAGAGCTTGTGTTCATGTTGAGCTGTTTACAGTCTTCTGTGCAGTGTCTTCTACTTTGAGCTTGCAACTTTTCCTTAGGCGGTAAAGTTTTGTCCAATGGCAGCATGGGGAAAAGAACAACTGAACAAAACAAAAGAAAAAAAAAAAGAGGAACCATAAAAAAATCCCACTGATTATGGTTGCTCATAACCTCCATTCAGACAACTCACTCGTTACCCACAGCCCTTCATCTCAGTCTGTAGAACGCAGCTGAGTCCCAGCTGTACCAGCACTGGCTGGCAGATGCATACTCCTCATCCTCTGGTACAGCTTCTAGTGACACTTGATGGCATCTCAGACATTTGCCACACTTTTCCTCTGCTCAGGAGGGACACTTTGCTCTTCCCTCAGGACCTGCTGGGATAAAGCCCCCTACCATCATTCAGAAAACCCCAAAATGATATTTTACTCAGCTGACACAGGAACATTTACTTACCTGACACAGGAACAGTTCACGGGCCTCCTGCAAAGGAAATACAAAGATTGGTACTATCCAAAGCATTTAACACTGGTGTTATGCATTGCATTTTAAAAATCTGAGCAGACGTCAATAAATGACACGTGAGGTCAAACAAAACTTTTATAAAAACCATAATGAAAATACACTGCTATCCCTCCTTTCATCAGAGTATGTAATTCTGATCTCAAAATCTTTGAATGACTCCGTTATACTCAAGGAGAGCTATTTTTTCATGCCAACATCATCAAAGTGATGATACCACCTACTCTTTAGTTAAGAAGGTGTTTCCATATGACCTCTAAAAGTCAATGATGTGAGAAAGCCCAAATGGGGACATACCCCTGTTTTCTAACTAACCTCCCCTTAAAAGCATTCCTAAAACCTTCTGTGAAGAATAACTAACTCATCTCAAGAATGACACTGCTCAGAAAAGCATAATCTTAAAAAAAACCCAGCTGTAGTTACTCAGATTTCCATTCTCTTCTATGTTTACCTAGGCATTCTCTACTTTTCAGCAGCAGAGGAAGATATATCCATGAAAAATAGAAGGGTAACTGTATATAGGAGGGAGAGTGAGGCAGAAAATCTGGCACAGCCAATAACAGAAAGATTTTTGATAGATGTATCAATCCTTGAGCCTACAATGACTTTTCTCTTCTCCACCCTGGACTACAGGTGGTGACTGCCTTTGTTGAAATGGCCTCTTTTAATACAGCAATATTCTTGTTTTGAGTCATTTTGTCTTCCTGTTTAACTACAGATTCACAAACTTTGATTGCTTGGGGAAAAAAACCAAACAAACAAAAAAAAAAGTCCTGCTGGTTGTGTTCCATTAGTTACTTAGTTGTTCTATGTGTTTTCTTGATTTCCTGAAACACCCCTGGCCTCCCTTCCTCCCTTATTTTTAAAGGAAAAGGTACTCCCATGATGAGCTCTGCCTGAATGGGCAAATATAAGACAAGCAATTAAAAATACTCAACACAAATACTGGATAAATTCTAATTGCAGCATAGCCATAACAAAAATTCTGATGCAAGCTGCCTTACTTGCTTCCAGAAATGCATTTGTTCCATGAATGCTTTAGCTTTGAAGGTGACTTCATTGCCAGCAATCCTTGTGCTGCTGCCAGAACACTGGGGAAAAGCTTTATTTCAAGAAAAGAAAGACGAACGTGTCAATTGATGATGACAGAACTGTTGTAGGTCAAACAGTTAAACTTATTCTGACTCTGTGTGTAGGCTTGGGGATTTTTTTTTTCCTGACTTCTGAGTACACTGTATTGTGTGAGGGCAGCTTGAGCTAAACAGAAAAAAAAAACCAAACAGATTTACTGTGGTCAGTACAGATTGTAACTCTCAGGGTAAGGTTAATAAGAGCATCTCACTGCATCATTCAATGACCTTCTAGGACCAAAGATAATTAGTGCAGCATTCATTAGGGATCTCAAACGTAACATGGTCCCCTCAACTGGGGAAATCTGCTGCTGACACAGGAGTAAACTAGGAGTGCCTGCAAGAAAACAAACATGCAATCAATGATAACAAAATAGCAGATATAACCCGGTTCTCAGAGGCAAGATCAGGAAGGAAATGTTGCACTTGCTTTGAGACACAGTTGATTACATTTACTGCGGTTATCTCCAGAGACATGGGCATTTGCTCTCTCAGTGCACTTAGAGCTCAGAGCTTTGGAGAATAGATGCCTTTGTTTACAAGCAGTGATGTCCAAATAGTTTCTCGCCTCCACCAGACTGAAAAATTTCCATCTCCAAGCACCTGTATTACAAACATCTCAGCACCTTCAAATTGCTGCTATTCAAAAAAATGAAGCAAGATTTTTGTTACAGGAGAAGGATAAAGAAATTACTGCTTCATCAGCAGGCTGTCCAGAGTTCACTCTACAGCAAGCCTGAATCCCAAGCTAGCAGTGGGCTTGTGATCCCACAGGATAAAAACCACACCCTGGCATTTATATCACTTTGCAGGTGATGTATTTGTCTGTCCTGGAAAGAGGTCATGCTAGAGAACAGCACAGCCATCTTGGTCAGTGCCAAACAACCAAATTATAGCCAAGTAATATGTAAAATAATATAAAAGTTATAGGCAAATTGTATACAGTAATTCAAAATCTGGTCACACATGATCACTGGGCTTTGTACTTTACTGATATCTCTGTCAGTGGTCTTTGATAGCTCCACTATCCTCCCTCCTCTTGGACATATAACCAGCATTGGCCTGGTCTTGATTTTGTGTTACAAATCAGAAAGTTTCTGCCTCTAGAGAGGTTACACACATATGAATAACTTGATAGCTCTCTCGAACCTGTTTGTCCCTAAAAGACATTCTGGTATCTCTGGGTCTACAAAGCTCTTTAAAATATGCCCCTTCTTCACTGCAGTAGGTTAAGCAGCAGGACTGCTGAAGCCTGATCCTTGGTTTCAGAGGAAGAGCTGTGACTGACAGTACCTCTTAGGAGTTTTCTTTCTCCCTCTATGTGCTTGGAAACAAACAAAGGACACTGTTTTTTCCAGCACCAAGATGATGAGCATTCGTGCGGCATTTACTGAGACTAGCAGAGAGTTTCACACGGTTAGATGTGAAAACATATACCGATGTCATCAAAATCTCTGGCCCTCAAAAATATGATTACAATGGTAACAACTGTAACAGCTACACACTATTTTATTATCTATTATTAATTTTTAACAATGACAACCCAGCCTGAGCGAGTCGCCTGATTACTGGTGGAATTATGCCTGGTTTATACAATCATGTTTTACAGATATCATTTTCGTATTAAAAAGAGGGGGTGGAGGGGAGAATGCCTTTCAAACATAAGCAATGTTGCCAAAGCACTAGGAGGCAAGTTATATTGTTAAACAACTTTTCTTATTAACACCCTCTCACAAAATGCATCTCATTTCAATTATATACTTTTCTCTTTATGAAGAAAAAAGCTTCTACTAAGAGATGATGCTATTTCTAGAACCGTTATCAGCAGTCTTTAAACAGGAGGCTGAACATCCACACCAGTCTGAACTTCCTGAGCTTACCGTGGCCTTTGATATTTGCCTAAAGTATTATAAAAGGGAGAGAGAGGGAAAAAAAAAAAAAATGAAGTTAAATGGAGCAGCCAGTTCTCAGCTTTTCCCCTCATGACACCCACCAGCCTCCCAGCCTACAAACCCAGAAAGCGAAGCAGCACCTTACGAATCCCTCACTTGTCAGGATAAACATGCCTAATGGCAGACATCTCCTCAGCCCCCACCTCCTCCGGGAAGGCTCTCCTGCCCTCCCCTCCGGCTATGCCTGGCTCTCAGGTGCCCGAGCTTTCTCAGCCGCGCTTTAACTCTTTTTAACCCGGCAATGGCAATCCGCTGAGCGAAGATCGCCGCTCCGCCCGGGCTGCATCTTATACGCTTTCCCCTCCGGACTGCGAGGGCGCGTTGCGGGCAGCGAGGCGTTCCGGGCGAACGGGCTGAGGGCAGGAGCGGCGCCGCGGCACAAGGGCGCCCGGCCCGGGACGAGCCGCGGGAGGGCCGGGCCTGCCCTGCCCGCCATGGGGAGGCGGGGGACGGGCCGCTGCCCGTCAGGACCCGCGCCCGGCCCCGCGCTCCCTCAGCCTCAGCGCCGCCTCTGAAGTTTCCCCGAGCAGCGTGCGCGGCTCCTGCCCCCGGGGCGGAGAGGGGCGCGGCGGCCGCCGCCCGCTCCCCCGCCGGCAGCGCTGCGCCAGCGCGGCGGGGCGGCCGCGGCGCCGGCGCTGCCCGCCCTCACGTTCAACTGGTGGGACCCCGTGCGGCACCGCGGGGAGCGGCGGGCGGCCCGGCCCGGCCCGGCCCGGCCCGGCTCGGCCCGGCGGGGCGGGCGCCGCCGGCTGAGGAGGATGCGGGCGGCGGCGCGGCGGCCGCAGGCGGGCGGCGGGCAGCGGCGCGGCGCCTGACCGCAGGGCTCCGCTCCGCTCCCGAGGATGCTGCGGGGCGATGCCCGGCGACAGGGAGGACGAGATCTGCCAGAAAGCGCTGCAGCTGCTGGCCGAGCTGTGCTCCGTCGGGGCGGTGGAGAACGAGAACTGCCGCGATTTCATCTACTACCTGCGGGACAGAGCCCGGCCCCGCCTCAGCGACTCAGGTACGGCCGCCGCCCTCGGGGGCGCGGGCACCGGCCACCTCCCTCCGGCCCCGGCCGCGGGAGGAGGGCGAGCTCCCCCGAGCATCCCCGGGCTGCCGCGGGGAGAGAGAGGCCTGCCGGCGCGGCGGGGGCTGCCGCGCTGGGAAGGAGGTGGCGGGGGGATGCTCCGGGGCCGCGGGGCCGGGCGGCTTTGCGGGGGCAGGACGGCGGTCCGGGCTCGGTGTTTTAGCGGCCGGCGCTGGGGGAGATGCGAGCCCGCGGCGCTCGCCGAGCCCGCGGCGGGTGCGGCAGCGCGGGGGGCGGGCGCGCAACTTTGCGCGGGCGCTGCCGCCCGGAGCGGCCGGAGCCGCCCTGGCCCCGCCGCCACCGCTCCGCTGCAGCCCCCGGGGCTGCCCCGCTGCTCCCCCGGGCCCCCGCGGCCGGGGCCAAGCGGCCAGGCGCATCCTGGCTCGGCTTTACTGAACGCGGCACACGCAACTCCCCGGTTCCGTGTGTCACAAGCTAAAAGGAGCGTTCCTCGCTTTCCCCTAGCAGATGTGCGGGCTGCAGGTCTGACAGGATGTACGCGGGGTTGGTTTCTGTGTGTTTGTCAGGGTTATGGCTTCCACATTGTGGCATAGCACTCTTACTTAAAAACTTTGACTTAAGGAAGCTTTCTCATCAGGAAGCTTCGCTGCACAAAAAGAGAAAAGACTGAAGGTTTGTCTCTGGATGCAAGGGAAGGGCAAATTGCAGTTTAGAGTAGGAGCTTATTAGATTTATTTTTGCATCATCAAGTTGAGGTTGCTCGGTATGGGGAGAAATTTACTGAGTTAAGACAGAAGTTGATAAACGCTTGAAGTACTGGGAAGCCTTGCTTAGATCAACCAGTCATCACAGCAGTTTTCATTGCTTCATTATTCTCTGAAATAAATCAATCCATTTAGCATAGGGCAGTCTAATGACACTCTTTTCTGTAATTTAGTAGCCTGAAGTAACACTCAGAGTGCAACTTCCTGACAAATCCTTGGATATGCTGGAGGCCTGGAGAAAACAAGTAAAACTAAATAAAAAAATACTCAATGGAAGAAAAAGATGTGCTGTCACAATAAATGAATAAGGAATTTTCCATCATTCACTTTGCTTGCATCCAAAGCTATTTTCAGCCATTCTGGCTTTTCACTACTTAAAATATTCAAATTGGAGTGATTCATGCAATGTTTGATAGGGTTTCTTTAAAAGTAGGCAAATTTAATTGTTTGGTTCATATAGGCAGATTTAATTACTTTGTTCATATAAGCAGTAATTTTAGGACAGACACCCGTGATTTTCTGTAATTTTAATTTACTGTAGGATCAGTTACGTATTTGTATATCAGGTCATGATTCCAAAGCCATCTGCTTATATCAGTGCTCAGTTTGGATATGAAACTACTTGAAATGCACACGGAGACTTTAACCTCCGCCACTTGGATAACAGCTTTTCAGATTTCTTTCAGAAGCTACCTCCTTTTTTTTTTTTTTTTCATCAGCCTCAGGCAAAAAGAATACCTGGCATCTGTTTGGGACTGATTTTAAAACATGGTGTGCTCAGTAAAAATTTATCGCCTCTACCTAAAGATGAAAAAAAAAAATTAAAAGTGTGTTTGTTTCTACCTGTTTTGCTTGAACTGTTATTACACAACAGCCTTCCGGTGTTGTTGCGAACCTGCTCGATTACACAGAGCAGCAGTCCCTAACCTTCGCCAGCCAATGTGCAACAACACGGAGCAATTTATGCTGCAGGCAGCATCTTCCCACTGGCCTCAAGCTGAGCGTTTTTATTTTTTGCAGCTGCAGCCAGTCTCAGAGGGTCTAGCAGGCAACTTGTTACCCGTAAACCCTGACTTGGAAAATAGTTCTGTGAGGTAGTCATGTCAGGAATTTGTTCATTTACCTAACCTCGTATTTCTTTGATTAAAATGTATTTCTTATCCTAGTATGGCTGCCCACGTGGTTTGTTTAGCTGGTCTTTAGCTGTGGTGCTGTGGGCTGTAAGAAGACGGTGCACATGACTTCCAAAATGAAGCAATACATAGTGAGAGGGCAGTAAATACACTGACCAAACCCAGCTTGCTGTGTGTAGTGAGTTTCATTGACTTAACAAGGGCAAAATAGCCTTAAAAAGCCCTGACGGCTGATCCGTCCCCTTTGCAGCCACTAGAGGCCCGAACAGGGATTTGGAGAAAAGTGGTGCTGAAGGACAGCGTCTCCTCACCAGAACTGGGCGAAAGATGGAGCTGTCCTTATTCAGCTTTCTGCCTCCCGAGGTGCGAAGGTGATATGTTTTAGTCAGACTGAGTAAGTGGCTCTTAGGCCACCCAAAACAGCAATCTAAAAAGCATCAGAGTGGAGAAAAGTGCATGAATAAATATCTGATGAGGTACATGACTAGGTATCGTGCAGGAATTAGTGCATGGGGACATGCTTTGAAAAGTGTTTCTGAAATGAAGTCTTGCCGAAAGCCCAGTGACATGGTGGGTACAGATAATTCTGTACAGATAATTCTTGCAGCACCTTTGGTCGGAATCTGTGGTACTGATGATTCCCAGATTGTAGAAAGTCTCTGTCTTTCAGACCCGCTGCCAAAGAAGAAGCCATAATTGGTCTGTGCTGGTTTCAAGGTTGTTTATTCTGTTTATCTCTAACATGTTCTGCTGCCCTGCCGCAGCTCTGTCCTGCAGGGCAGCGTGTGGGGCTCTGCCCTCAGTGGGATGGTACAAACATTAAATACCAGAAACTACCTGTGCTGGATTTACAATAATGTGCCAATATCTGTCACCTACGTTGAACAGTGTGTCCCCAGCCTAAACCAACAGAAAAATGCCAACACTGCAGTGAAACATGGAGGGCATGAAGAAGGAGAAAAAGGACAAGACACACCCAATTTCCTCCATCTTGTCCCCTTTGGACCCCTAATCTAGAATCCTAAAATTTTACTTTTGCACCCATGCCACACTTAATTATTACTCATATCAAACACTCAGAGCTGGTAATTCATCTTGTAAGATTGAAAACTCTTTTCCATGGACAGAGATCACAGACAGTGTCTCTGGGGGCTCTGTCCAGGGGGGTTCCTGACCCCCTGCCAGGGTCCCAGACCTGCCAGGGCAGCCAGAGGGATGCCCTGGACTCTCACAAGTTGGCTGAAGCCATTGGTGGATGCTGGCTCTGTCCCCTGTCAGGACTTGTTAGAGAAAGCCAGCCCTGGCTGGGGGAGGGAGGGAGCTGAGCCTGGTGCCAGTGTTTGTGGCCAGGCTCAGCCTCCCGGTGCTCTCAGCTCCAGCATGGAGCAGCAGCTCCCTGGAGATCCACTCCTCTCTTGCCTGACATCGGATGCACTTGGCTGTGTGACTCGGGCTAGGAGGGGACTGCCTGCTTGTGGTGTGTGCCACATCTTTATTTGTCAGTTTTTCAGTATATTTCAGCGGTTTTCCCCTGTTGTGGGGAGTGCTGCACGTGCTTTGAGCACACGAGTTTAAGGGCTAATGAGATCTGAGTTTAACATGCTGGTCCACTGGATTTCAAGGGTGGCACGGGTGAGTCAGATTTTAAAGCTTTTCAGAAAAATAAAAATGCAAATTAGGCATTTAGTGAAAAATCTTCAATTAGTTCAATAAGAGTTATATGTCAGAACAACCTTGAAAATCCCCAAAAGGCATCCTTAAGCTGACTCGTTTTCTGTTCCATTGTAAAATGTCAATAATACTTCTCTATCACTGAAAGGCTTTGTGAGGGTAAATTGCGAAATCTGAACACATCCAGTATGTAATACATTCATAGAGGAGAGTCAGATGGACCTCTCAGACATATTCAGGTAAAAATAGTGTTTGTCTTATGGGCATTTGAAAACAAGCACTCAAGATCATGGATTATCACCCCATGATACATGATAAAGCAAATATTGTAGGGCAGGAAGAGCAGAAGAATTCCTTCAATGTGTAAAAAAAGGAAAATCCAGTAAACCAAAACTACAACAAAATCATGAAAGCACATAATCTTGATAGAGAGACTGACCATTAAAAGAAGAATTAATTCAAAAAAGCTGCTTATGAAATAAGGATTCTAACAACAGTCCAGACCACTAATCATAGTGAATTTTTCATTTATTTTGTAGTGGAAAAATGAATATAAATAAAAAGTAAACTTTACTGTTTCTTTGGATTGCACATCTTGAGGATGAGCCATCAAGGTCTTATAATATTCTTAATTATGTTCTTTAAAATTGGCTAATAGATGCTGAAACAGAATACATGATGAATACTTTGGGCATAGCAATGGCCATTAGGCATAAAGTGTTTTACAGGTCATAAGTATGAGATCAATATTTCACAGTGACAGAAAGACAAATTTTAGCACTTGATGGAGGTAAAGATAGTTGACAGTGAAGAAATTAAAAAATCTGGGAGTGGAAATGCAATGGATATTGAAGACAAAATGTATGAGAAACTGCAGTTATGGTCTTGCAGTAGAATTTAAGCATTTTATGAATCAGTACTTTACTTTTTAATGTCTATTTTCAGCTTCAGGAGAGAGAAAAGCACAAAGAAACAGAAAACCAAA